AATTTATTTTTTTAATATTTTTTAGTTGTAGATGGACACAGTGCCTTTATTTTATTTATTTTATGTAATGCTGAGGATCCAACCCAGTGCCTCACGTGGGCTAGGCAGGCAGGCACTCTATCACTGAGCTACAACCCCACCCCCATGAAGAAATAATTATTAAGTTGTTGAAAACAATTACGTACTTCCTTGGAAGGCTCGAGCCTTGGGCAGTGAATATCATAAGACATTACAGTGTCCTGTGATGCTTGAGCACTATATTCAAGAGTAAAAAAATTACCATATTAGCTTACAAGTAAACAAACAGAAGGGGACTGTTGACTTGTTCAGTAGAGAGGTCGTTAAATAGAGTTACCTGTCAGATTAGCCATTTTCCCTGAAATATCAGTGGTGAATATCCTAGTGAAAGTCTGGTAATATAAATTGTTTGTCCCTCATCCAGAAATGATTGGGAGCACAGGTGATTCTGCTTTCAGAGCTTCTGGGCTCTGCCGGCTGAGCATATCTAATCTGAAAATTTAGAATGTAAATGCTACAAATATGAAACTTTTTTGAGTGTTGATAGGATACCACAAATGGAAAGTTTCACATCTGACCTCTTGTGATGATTTGCAGTCAAAACACAGGTACACTAAAATATCGTATAAACTTACCTTTAGGTTATATGTATGAGGTATATGTGAAACATAAATGAGATTTGTATTTAGAGTTGGGTTCTATCCCCAAGGTTTCTTATTATGCATATGCAAGTATTCAAAAATCTAAAAACATTAGAAATATGAAATACTATTAGTCCCAAATATTTCTGATAAGGTATATTTAGCCTATGTATAATTGAGTTTGATTTCATCCCTCATTGTTTTATATAACATGATATTTCACTGTCTTTTAATTTTTATTGAAATATTTTATTTACTTTTAAAATTACAGTACACTGATTGATTCCGATGGCTAGCACTGACACAGCTCTGGTTACCTATTTTGTTAAGGAAAGTAACTATTGCATAATATAAACAGATGAAGACATTTGTGGATTAGGAGTCCAGTAAACAAACTGATAGTTTATTTCAGTGGTTGTTGTAGTGAAATTTGACAAACAAAATTTTCATGTTAAAGCAAATGCCTGCTATATCCTAATATTCATAAATAGTCATTAAACACTCATGTTCCTCAGCCAGATGTCACTGTCGTAAAGATGGCTAGATGGCCATACCTAGTAGAGTTGATTTACGGATACTCTGATAAAATTTGAGCTTTTTGTTAATGCTTGAATGATTTTAGAAGTTTCTTGCAGGGTTCAGTACCCTTGAACTTGCTGTTGGTTTTATATCCTGGCCTGTACCTGAGATGAATATATTTCAGATCCACATTTTACCATAAATTTCAGAGTTCCTTATCTGATACTCTAATTAAGGAATATATTATGTGAGTTTGACCTTTTGATTTGTCTCTTGTCCTTATTGTCTTTTAGGAAGATGATTAGATGTAGTTTATGTGCTAAAGCCTCAAATATTTGGTTCAGCTGAATGATAGGTCATATTTTTATCTACTTTAAATATAATTTAGAGATGTAAAAAGTCATTTTTATGTGTTACCAGACATAGGCTTTGCCATCATGGTTCTTTTTTCTTCCCCACTTTACCCTCATTGTTCACTACACCCAAATATTATTGGGGACAGAATTTATCTCTTATTGCCATGGATTTCAACTTAAAGTCTAATAAACTGATTGCTTTTTCTGAAAGGGCAAACTAGACATCTACATTTAACTTGACTGTCTTGGAAATGATAATTTATGCTTAAGTTTTTTAAAAGCTTTGCCTAGTTTTAATTTGGGTCTATCAGTGACATATTTTAAAATTTAAATATTGGAAAACTGGGAGATTTAAAAAAGAAAGGATAAAGTATTATTATTCTATGCAAAAATGTTAAAGGATGAGGATTTTTTTGTTTGTTTTTTGCAGAGGGGCCAGGTGTGACTGAAATTCTTTATGATCATGAATATGTTTAAAAAATAATGTTTCCTTTTGTTTTTAAAGAGTTCAGAAATAGTTTAAACTTAAAGCAATTATGACTGGGATTATAGAATATCATTTGGTGTTACAGGACAAAGAAGCTTTTGTGAATGGTATTTATTAACATTAAATGGGGAACAAATCACTGGATTCTGGTCAACCTGGTGTTGGAAATCGTGGGCTAATAGAGAATCTCTCTCAATGGATCAGTATTCTTTACTACTATAAATTAGTTTGTGCGGTCAGGTGTTATGGAAGGGTAACTAGTCCCTGATACCTAGGAAGCCATTATGGTGATCATCTAGAATAGGTGATTAACCCACTCATGCAGACAGAAGGAATGGAGTGGGTGGGCAGAGGGCACATTGTAGATTCCAGTTGAGTTTAATGCAGCTCTTATTACAGCTGTTTTAATACTGTGTATATGTCCTGGTGCCTTGTAGCTTGAGTTAAATCTTGTTCTCTACTTACTAACTTCTAATTTGATTTAATATAGTAGTGTAAATCAAAGAAAAATGATTTTCATTGTTGAGTAATGCTTATAATACCAATTAGTTCATAATCTTTTACATATCTAAAAATAAGAATGATTGGAAGGTGTTGTACAAAGCTGCTCACCTCAAGGTGGTTAAGGTTTTTCTGTTTATTGTAATTATTAATTTGGCTCTTCTGAACTATCAAGTATTGAAAATTTCATAATTTTCTATGTCTCGTGTAATAAATTTTGTCAGTAATGTATTTAGCAAATTGAAGCAATGTTAAATGCAGAGGTGGAATGAGTATGTATGGTGTTAAAAATAAAAGATCTTCCTATCACCCTAAGACAACACTCCCAACTGGGATTCTAGCAGTCTCTCTCTCCCTCTGTTATATATATTACAGGGCCTGGCATAGTCTTATTTTTCTCTGAGCATTCAGTCTTTCTGTCGCTATACATTTTAAAATCATTGCTCCTTCTTTCCACTTATTTGAATACTATTCATTCTTTGCTATCTAACCATTTATGCCTCCTTTGTGTCTACCACCTCCCAATGTTGTGTTTTTACTTTATGTGCTACTTCTGACTCTTTTTGAAGAGTTGCTTATTTGTTCCATTTGGACTATGTATTTTTTTTTAAATTTTATTATGTTAAATATCTTTTGTAAATTTGGATTTGTTGGCTAAATTCTAATTCCTGTGAAGGTAGGAATTCTCTCACATTCTTCATACATCCTCCATTTAATCCAGTGCCAAGAACATGATAGGAGCTCACTATTTATAATTAGTATAATTGTACATAAGAAAAGTGATGGGGTATTTTCATTGTATTAAGTGTTTTAGAACTTAAGTATTTGAGTATTTATTTTAATTTCCCTTGAGATTAAATTTTGACAATGAAAGAAATATTCTTGAATAACAGAGGTCTGTGTTCATACTTTATTATTGGAAGGGAGGTTCCATTGAAGGATGCTCAATTACCTGCATGTTCTTTGAATAGGAGCAAGTATCCACAACACATGATCCTATAGGGTTTTAAATATTGTAATTTCAGCTTCTTTCAAATTCTGAAGAGTTATTTGTCGGTGAGATAAAGGGGAAACAAGGCTTTCCGTGACTGAAAAACCACAAACCAATACCCTAGTGGTTGCTATTAACATATAAAATACAAATAATAGGACATTACTCATTTTTCAACTTGAATTATATTACTTTGAGTTTAAAAATCAGTTGTTTTCCATATGCAGAGCTTCAGAGGGCAGTGTTAGAAATAAATGGTTAAGCATAATTTATTTCAGACAGATATTATTTCTGAAATGCATTATTTGTATGACTTTGGGCATAGTATTTAACCCCTGATTCTTAGTTTTTTTCTTTTATAAAATAATATCCTGTCCAGTAATAACCTATCCCAAAAGATTAGTATAAGGACTATAAAAGAGACATCTAAAACACCAAGCACTATGGTTACATGGCTCCTTCATAGGCATCTAACGTGCATCTTGTCCTCTGCTGTTTTTGTCCCTCTCTCCCCAATTTAGATACATATTATCTAATTGAACTTTTTATTTTTGCTCCAGCTGTTTCATAGCACATTTTGATGTTTATAAGAAAGTTACTCCTAATTATAACAGTGATCCAGTAGGAAACTGGACTTTGAAAAGAATGTTGTCAGTAATGTAACATGAATATTTTTCAAAGAACTTGTTTTTTTTTTTGAGTAGTAATTTTGTAAAAAGTATTGAAAACATTTCATAGTAAGATTAAAAATACATTAAGATGTTGTTGTTAGTTTGAGATGTCATAAAATTTTCTGAAATTAGTCAAAAGATCTCTATGTAAGTGAGAAAGTAAAATTTTGCCACTTTAACTAGGGCAGTAGTATTATAGACAAAATCTTTTTAACTAGGCTCTTCAAGGAATAATGTTTTCTGACTAAAATCCCCTTTTGTTTGAGCCCTTTACATAAATGTTTAGAAGTATAATGGTCTGCTTTCCTGCCTTAAAGAAATGTATGTGCAGAATATAGTAGCCTCTTTGTTTGTAGACAGAGAATCTTTCTTTCGTCATTCTAAATATCAGTTATTATGGTGTGGCTCTATGGAATAGCCTGATGATAAGTAGTGGAGATTAGGCTGAATGTACTCATAGGCATATTTTGAAAAGTTACCAGCCCTCCAGCCCTCCTCTCACCCTTAATCCCAAGTCTCAGTTTTGCTTTAACTTTCATATCCCTACACTTGTGTGATTGAGTAAAGAACATTTTTTAACAAATTTGAGATTCTGATTTCTTCAAACCGAAAATTCATAAAAGGAGACTTGGGAGATTATTCAGCCTACCATCCTCGTTTAATAGATTCAAAACCTCTGAGGCATAGGTTAATTGACTTGCTCAAGGAAACTAAGCAGATTCATTAAAAGAAACAAAGATTTAGGTTTCCTCATTAAACTGACACTTTAACAGTGTCCCAAATTTTGGTGGTTATCTTTGATCTTCTTTGAAACAGGTAGATCGACACTTGAGAAAGCTGGATCAGGAACTGGCTAAGTTTAAAATGGAGCTGGAAGCTGATAATGCTGGAATTACAGAGATATTAGAGAGGCGTAAGTAAAATTTACAGTTTTCCATCAATATTGGATAATACATGTGCAAATCACCGAGGAGACGCTTGTCCCACAGAAGCTTTTCAGATTTTGCCTTTTGCTTGTTGGTGGCATCTGGGTCACATAACTTGGACCCCAGCAGTTGGAACTGTTTGGGTCATGGACACCAAAAGGGATAATGTAGGCTATCATCCCACTCATTCTTTATGGGAAAAAAAAAAAAAAAAAACATACTAAGTCATTCCATCTTTAAATATCCACATGTACTAGTAAGATTAGTGGTAAAAGCAAAGATTTTTTAAAGAAGTATCACCATTGAGAGACAAATTAACCATCTCCCATATTCATTAATACAGTGACTTTGCCCTGCCTGTTAGTGTTTTCTTCTTGGGAACTTCCTTAATACTTTTCCACAGATGTATATGCTGAGAAAGATTCTGACTTATTTCACAACACTTCCTGTTTTTTAAAATAGTCTTTCCTAAACTTTATATTATCAACCAAAAGCCATGTTAATATTTCTTTGCAAGGCTCAAATTGATCTCCTGCTGTAAGTTACACACAAATACTTATTGGTTTTCACTCAGGAGACTTCCCAGAAATGAATGCCTGAGCTCTGTTTTTTAAAAATAATTCCTCATCTCTTCAACCTCTAAATAGTGAGATGAATAAAAGTAGAGAGTATGGTGGTAGGCCTAGAGATGTTAGTAGAACCAAAATAGTATTATGGGTGTTTTCTGCTAGAACTTAAGTTTATAAACATTTTTTCCCCCTTGGTGCATTCTAACAGCAAGAATATTTACCTTTTCTATTCACAAAATGTTTCTTGATGGCGTGAGGCTGTATATCTCACTCTAGGTCAGTTACAGAAGCCAGTATAAAATCCATTTTGATTTCCATAGTTGCATTTTTTTTTAAAATCTAAAGTAGATCCATCACTTTAGACGATAATCTGATTTATTTGTGATACTTTTATTCTGGAGAAAGCCTGTCAGTGATAAGTGTTGGGGGACAAAATACAATATTCTATAGCTGCTTTCATTTTCTTTCTTTCTTTTTTTTTTTTAAATGCTGATGGTAGCTGTGAATAATGGTAACTCATGCCTATTCAGTACTGCAGGAAGGTTAATAAAGCATCCTCTCTAAGGACACAGACATATGAACCTAAATTGGATCAAGTTTTAAAATACTCCATCCTGTGCCCTGCCATAATTTCATCTCAAGGGATCAAAAATAAACCCAGAGAATTTCTTTAAAAGTATTTTAAAGCTTGGTATTCAAGATTCTTCCCCTCACTTTTTACAAGTAAAATCCCTGACTTCTTTTAGGAAGTCTTCACTGTTATATGTCATTTTAATGATCAAAGAATTTTCTTTCAGATTAATAGTGTCCTGTCACCTAGAACTTTAGAATCTCCTACTATAAGGTCCTCAATACTATTATTCTCACCTGAGGATTTTAGATTTTATTAGTAGTTGTGGTTACAATGTCCATTCATCTGTTTACATGGCACCCACTGTGGTGACTTCCCTAACTCAGCATTACCATGCCTTGAACCATTTTGTATTTAAGGTGAATATTGAGAAATGGGTTTCTCAATAGCTCAGAGTGGAATTGGCATTGATAGCCCTCTGACATATGTGACTAAAATGATACAGGTCTGTGTAGAGCATGCAGCCCTCTGCTGAGTTAGGGAACACTACTGCCAGTAGTTGGTTGACATGTAGAGTTGTGTAGTGACATTTAATGGTGGTATATCTCTGTGCCTTTCTTTTTAGGATCTTTGGAATTAGATACTCCTTCACAGCCAGTGAACAATCACCATGCTCATTCACATACTCCAGTGGAAAGTAAGTTTGGATTAGTGCACTAAGTATTTAAAGAGCTAAATACAATTAAAAACTCATTATTCATGTCACCTGTGTGTTTTTCCAGAAGCTGAGAACTTTTCTTCCCTCCTTTTTTAAAAAAAAATGAGATATGTTTTCATTGCAAATCCTGACAGATTTTATCTTTCTCATTTGGGAAAAGCACATTTGACTTGTGAACAGGTGGTCTGTTTTCTCTGAAGTTCCTAGAGGGAGAATGTGTACTAGTAATAGCTGTATATGCTTCTTACCTACAGATGTCCAATTCTCTCTAGGGAGTGTTACAACTGAGCCAAACAATAAACTAGGACCTTTGTCTTTTTCATCCTTGCTTCTCGAGTGCTTAACTGATTGTTTGGCATATGAAAAAGTCATATGGTTGGTGAGTTAGTGAGTAAAGGAATTGTTGGCTGGCTGATGGGCTAGTGGACTAACTGTACTGGTACTTTTTTTTTTTTTTTTTTGGACAAATCAATTTGATAGGAAACAAGGTTTGGTTGAAAATAAAATTCCCCTTACGTTGTTTGTGAAATCTTGGTGCATTTTGGGTTATCTTCAGTACTTTACTCCTGAAGATTTTAAAATATGAATAAAACATGTGACACAGAGTTCTGTTTTTCCTCTCTGCTGAGAAGATATCATAGTCCCTGTTTGATGAGGCACCCAGATTGTGAGTGCACTGCTTTATGACTGCCTATCTGTAGTTCTCTAAAGTTTAAAAACACATGAATTCTTTATTTATATTCAGAAAGGAAATATAATCCAACTTCTCACCATACGACAACAGATCACATCCCTGAAAAGAAGTTTAAATCTGAAGCTCTGCTCTCTACCCTTACATCAGATGCCTCTAAGGAAAATACACTAGGTAAGTTTTTTTTCTTAAATATTATTGACTGCTTTTTTATTTATTTGTTTGTGTTAGAATAGGGGAAATGAAAACATTCATGACTAGTGAATCTTAGAGATTTGTTACCTGGTTGAAATCTGCATATGAAGAAAAGAAAAAGGAAAATGTCTTCCATTACTCAATCTACAGTATATGAAGAATTTCCTTGGAATGATTCTATCTGTGCTGGCAAATGATGTATTTTAAACTCAATAATATTCTACAACCATTTTTGTTTCCTCTCTACAGGTTGTCGAAATAATAATTCCACAGCTTCTTCCAACAATGCTTACAATGTGAATTCCTCCCAACCTCTGGCATCCTATAACATTGGCTCATTATCTTCAGGAACTGGTGCAGGGGCAATTACCATGGCAGCAGCTCAAGCAGTTCAAGCTACAGCACAGGTAAAAAGTTCAGAATCATTGGCAAACCCTAGTAGAAACAACTGGATGTGAACAGTTTTATTTTATCATGTGTTTTAACTTTGAAATCAGTCTTATGATAATAACATATAATTAAATAGGAATTACCTGACTGATGAAGAAAAGTAAAAGATAAATTCCTCTTGCAGACCCTTCTCACAGTTTTTGCTCAGATTGCCTGTGTTCTCAGCTGTTGTCCTTAGCACATGCTGGGATAGTTATTTGGAGTTTCTACCACTTTCAGGACTCTGTGGCCTTGGGGCTTAGATTGGCTTGAGTTTGTTCACTTCTGTAATTGTCTGTGTTCCAATTGAGAAGTAACCCTTCCCACAGTTACTTCTTGTGTAAAAACTGATTTTAAATCTTTTTTTCGTGGGGAAGGAAGAGGGTACCAGGGATTGAACTCAGGGGCACTTGACCACTGAGCCACATCCCCAGCCCTATTTTGTTTTTGTTTAGAGATAGAGTCTCACTGAGTTGTTTAGTGCCTCACTTCTGCTGAGGCTGGTGATTTTAAATCTTTATATGAAATAACTTAAATGCCAATGATGAAAATTAAGTTTAAGCAAAATAAATGTATAGTGGATGAACAAAAATAACACTGTAACCTGTAAAACTTGAGAAAGTCTGTATTATATATATTAATGCTATAAATGAATGTCTATTTAAGATGAAAGAAGGACGAAGAACATCAAGTTTAAAAGCCAGTTATGAAGCATTTAAGAATAATGACTTTCAGCTGGGAAAAGAATTTTCAATGCCCAGGGAAACAGCTGGCTATTCATCATCTTCAGCACTCATGACAACATTAACACAGAATGCCAGCTCATCAGCAGCTGACTCACGGAGTGGTCGAAAGAGCAAGTAAGTTTTCTCATTACACACCTTTGCATAACCCCATACCTTTGCTGTGTTTTCAGTCTGCTTGGCACCCCAGCTGAGCCTCCATGCCCATTATCCAGGGCATAATGGGTCAGGATGAACTTAGGATATGTGAGAAGATGTGAGATTTTCATTTACACTGCTATGCTTTTAAGGAATAAGTCTTTAAAAAGTGTTAGAATTATTTTTAATTTTTCTATAGTCTTAATTCAGCTTGTTAGTAAATGATTTCTGTTTATTTTCATTTGTTCATTAAGATAAACCATTTTATGGAACTGTTTTTCACTTATAAGTTCTTATTTTGCCATATGTTTCAGTGTAAATCAATACATAAAATGCAAATTACATTTTTAAAAAACAAGATTTTTCAATTTGATTAATAGCAAGTTGTCTTAATTCTTGGTCTTGTGTTTCCAAAATTGATGATTTGAAAATATGCCTAAGTTTTATATGTGAGACTCTTAGGATGATTATATAAGCTTTAAATTTGAAAACTTAACAGCATTGAATTCCATCTGTCCCTGGTACTGAATATGCTGGGTGCTTATATATAATGAAAGTTCAAATGTGAGGCCAGAAGAATTAGTTACTTTATAATTTTGTCATAATTTATTTTTAACTGTGATGTGGTATTTTTTTTTTGTTTTGTATAAATCCCTGAAAGAATGATGGATATAAAATATTCACACAACTATCACCTTGTTAAAAATTAATTTTAATTTTATGAACCAAATTTAATATAGCTGTTTATGGTAAATGTTTACATTTTTTAAATGGAGTTAGCCTCTAGCTAGTGGTAAATATTGTGAATTTTAACACTCTTGGTTCACTGTCTTCCTTCCACATGATAGGTATTCATATGTCAGTTGATAGTCATAATTAGTGTTTTTCTGTATGTGCATTTTAGAGTTTGATGAAGAGTATTTTGTTTATTTAGAATTACAAAAAGAATCCAGGGTAACCATAACTAATACTAATTCTTAAAATTAGTTTAAATCTGTGGTAAGTAGTAACTACGATTAAAAATATTTTTAAAACTTTGAAACAATTTTAAAAGAAGTTTATTTTGAATACTTTTATTCTCCAGAAAATAAAACATTCCAAATGAAAAAAATAAACTATTATAAAATTCTTTCTCATTGCTCTAAATAAAAGTGTTAGATGTTAATTTATACATTTGATGTTTTTCTTGGGTAGTGTCTGATGATGGCCAAACAAAACCAATGCTTTTTTTCAGAAACAACAACAAATCTTCCAGCCAGCAGTCATCCTCTTCCTCTTCCTCTTCCTCCCTGTCGTCCTGCTCTTCATCATCAACTGTTGTACAGGAAATCTCCCAGCAAACAACAGTAGTGCCAGAATCAGACTCAAATAGCCAGGTTGATTGGACTTACGACCCAAATGAACCTCGATATTGCATTTGTAATCAGGTAAAAGTCTGGTGTATTTCTATAACAACACAATATAAAAAACTAGAAAGAAGAAAATTATTCCATTTTCCAGCACTCTTTTACTCTGGTAAAATACCTTTGCTTTATTTGTATGCCTTTCTCCCCCTTTTAAAAGTGACATGTTTGCTGTAAATTCAAAGAGTATAAAGAAAAATGCAGGGACTGGGACTGAGCTCCATAGTAGAGTACTTACCCCACCCTCATGAAGCCTTGGGTTTGATACCCAGCACCACATTAAAGAAAGAGAGAAAGAAAGAAAAGGAAGTTTGGGGTGGGGGAAGAAGGTCAGTCCAAGTTGACCATAATCTCAGTGCTCAGGTATAACTTGTAATGAAACATTTAACATACCATGCTATATTCCCTGTACACATAAAGGCTGTTGTAATAAAATACTGCAGATTGAGTAGCTTTCACAGTAGAAATTTATTTCTAAGTTCTGGAGGCTGGGAAGTCCAAGATCAAGACACCAGCCAGTCTGGGTCCAGTGATTGTTCCTTCTGGCTTGTAGACAGCTACCTTCTGACACATACTCACATGGTACAGAAAGATAGGGCAGGGGCTTCTCTTGGATCTTCCAAGGGCACAGCCCTATCAGATTAGGGCTCTACCTGTTGACCTTATTTAACCTTCCTCACATGCCCTATCTTCAAGTCATATGTAAGTCACACTGGAGCTTAGGGTTTCAACATAAAAATTTGGGCGGGGGGTGGAGGTGGGTACAAGCATTCATTCCACAACACATATTTACATAGATAATTTATGTGTGTGAGAATGAGTTTGACAGTAGGAATCACCATATATACTTTTTTGGTAATTAGTGTTTTCACTAAATCAAATACACTGAACATGATTTATAATTAAAAAGTATGGAAAAAACAATTTGGATTTAGAAACTCGTTACATAGTCGTAATAAAAATATTTAATTTTCTTTTAACTAGGTATCATATGGAGAGATGGTAGGATGTGATAACCAAGATGTAAGTATTGAATTTTGCTACTTAGGAATGAAAAAAATCATAGGTTTTTATCGCTTAAATATTTTTCTTATATAGTGTGTCTCACAGTCTTAAGAAAACAAATTGCAGTTACATTAATTATGTTATGCTAATGCTAGAATATTCTTCTCCACAATAGGGCTGTGTTCCTTAATGCATTCCCTACTTAAAATTTTAAAGCTAATGTTGTGATGTTATATGCAGATTGTATTTTTCATAAGTGTTATGGTGTGTGAAAATTATAATCATTCTCCTTCCCTTTTGGTAAAGATGTATTTACTGGAGCCCAGTTCATTTATCACATTGAAGAAATAGAACTTTAAAATAGTACAATTTTTTTTAACAAGTATGATGCCAAGGGATAGTTGAAGATCTAATGTTAGATTATTTCCCTCCCATTAGTACAGTGTTTTCTATCATTCTTATCAGGTGGCAGCTAATAGGGAGCCATCTCTGACATAAAAAACAAAGGATAGAACGAAAGGCATTCCTCATTCTTTTTTAGGAAGCTTAATTTTGGTTAGAGATACATCTTTTATTAAGTGTTGACAATCCTTTTGTTTTGTAATTTTGTCACCCTTGTTACTTTCTTATAATTCAGCCTCATTGTGTGCTTCTTTTGCTCCAGGGGCATAACAGAACCCTGAATTCTGTGGAAGTAGTAATCAGGAACATAGAATTAGCATCTTAGGATTAGCAAGAATTAGGAATTTTAGGATTAGCAAGAATTTTAAATTTCTGAAAACAGTCTGAAGATTGGCTTGCTGTTGTGAAAGTTGTACCTTTCCTCGATTTGACAGTCAAAACAAAGTCTTCACATAGATGGGGATACAGCCCTCTTCCACTGTCCACAATCACCTGTGGGCTGTTTTTGATTATTTCAAAATAGTATTGCTCCACCATTTCAAGAACATCACCAGATGCTATCTTCAGGGGCAGTGAAAATGTTGACTGAGATTTCTGTAAATGCCATATCATAAGCTTTCAAATCTTCTCGTCTCTTGTGCACTTGTGCATGCTAAGACTTTCTGTGCAAATGTAGAACCATTTAATATGTTTCATAGAGGGGTACTTCACCTCTGCATCTCTAGGAATAGGTGTACTCAGAAAAGGCACCCAGGGTATCCCTCATGTCTTCACTTACAACAAGGTCACTTACTTTATGAGAGAGCAAATAAGGCTGAGTATTAAATAAAATCTTTAAAATATATTACCTTCTTCATAAAATATTCATCTCATGTGTATATAACATTAATATATACATATATTAATAACCTGATTAAGTTAATGAAAATTAGTCAATTTTCATTTATTATTTAGTGTTATGGGAACCTTACTTGAACCCAGTTATCCAAGATAAGTAATTTTTCTGTGCCTTTGTTTTCTAACTCATGAAGTGTATCAGGTAGACTACGTGATCTCTAAATCATCTCCTAGATCTAAAATTTTTAATTTTTATTAGATGAAATATCCAGTCTCCTGGACATACTTTGGCATACTTTCTATTTGATAGAACTACTAAATTTATTTATTTTTTTAAATTTTGCTTTCCAGTGCCCAATAGAATGGTTCCATTATGGATGTGTTGGATTAACTGAAGCTCCAAAAGGAAAATGGTACTGTCCACAGTGCACTGCTGCAATGAAGAGAAGAGGCAGTAGACACAAATAAAGGTGTCACTTGAGGAAGAAACGCTTCAGCTCGTCATTTTTATATAGGACTCTAAAAAGGAAGGGAGAAAGAAGAAACAACTCATTTCCAGGCAACCACTTAGAGGATTTACATTGACAATCCTATAAAATCTTGAACTTGAATTTTATGGGTTGTATTTTAATAATGTAAGTAAATTATTTATGCACTCCTGGTGTGCTATGAATATTATTCCAGTTAGCCTTGGATTATTTCTGTGGCCAACATATGCAGACATTTGTACTCCTCAACCATTTTCTCAAAAGTAATGGGCATTCTATAATTTAGACTTCAAAGAATTCCAACGATGATGATTTTAAAAGTATTTTATATTCAACAGGTATATTCTGCTGCATGTACTGTACTCCAGAGCTGTTACGTAACACTGTATATAAATGGTTGCAAAAAAGACAAAAAAAAGTCAGCCCTTCTGAAAAGAATTTAAGATAATGGTTTTTAAAATGCCTTTATAATAAGCTTTGTTTCTTTGTGAAACTGATTCAGCAGGCTGAAGGAAATGGTTCATGTGATAAAGTGGGCTGGTGTCCTCTAGAGTACCTGGGTACATAAACAGAAAACTCCTGTAGGTAAAAACTAATTTGTGCCATTAGTCTTTATATGTTTCTGCATCCAGATAGAGTGCAGTTCATGAGGGCGGGGGAGGGGGGCTGACGGGGGAAAGGGTGTTAAAAGTGATACATTTTTATACCAAATGTGTTTATTTTTTTGTGCAAGTAATCCTTAAAATTGGAATTGTATTAGGTGTTAAAATAAAGTTTTTAAAAAATTACTTGTATTTATACTTTGCACACTTAATAATGAAATTTTCTTAATTCGAATTTACTTACAGTTTTCATAATCTAAAAAGGACGAGCCCCAGCAGAATGCTATATGTAATCTGTGATTTCTGTAATAATACTTGGAACTTGTGTTAGGAAAATAAGGGAAAAACATTTTTAATGTAAATTTGAAACACTAATGTATTTTTTTAGGACATGTCTCTGGCTTTTGCTTCAAAGGGACATAAAAGAAAAGTCTGATTACAGCAGATAAAATGAAAATAATGGTTATATCTGTTTTTACTGGAGGCAGTGTGGCCAACATGAGTGAAGAGATCTCTGACTGGAGCTTCATATTCAGCTCTATTTTTGAATCTGTGACATACTCTTGTGACATACATGAGTTAGTTTCAGTCTTTAATCACTCTGGGCCTTATTAGACCAGTGTGGTGCTGGTACAGGGTGTCTTTAAAGCACTCCTAAGATTTTATTCTACAGGTGCTATTTAGATTTTAGATCTTACTTAGTGGGTGTTTTATTTAAAATAGAGTCTGGTATAGAAAAGTCCTTAAAACTTTTAAGTAGTTATTACATCATACTTCCTTTATTACTGGGTCTGTTGCATTTCTGCTTTAATTAAAAGCACTTAGGAGCCTCTTAGAATTTAATACAGTATAAAATCTATGCAATGTTACCGAGAGGGCATGAATTAGGAGATTTCAGAGTTCTCTTCCAGCTTTGAGATACCGTGATTCTGAGCTGCTGCAGTCTGATTTCATAACTGCCAGACCAAAGAGAGAACTTTGGTTCATAATGTGAATCCTCATGATTGCATAATATCATGGTGTATCATGATTTTATGATGCTCACTGTTTTCATGGAGATTTTACAAACATTTGAGAAGTAACATATAATATAGTATTCGGTTAGCTTATTAGTACGTTGCGTGGAGATGCTCAAATTTATCATTTATATCCTTTAACTATATATTATGAGTTTCCCAAACTCATTCATTTTATAAGAATTGGTCAAAGGAAAAAGCCTTATGCACAGCCTTATTTTAAGACAAAGTTCCTTGTCTGAGTCAGGAACATCCCTGCTTCCAGCTGCTACAGCCCTTTTAATTTCTAAATTCTTCTTACCAAATCACTTAGAACACACCTTGACAAGTTTTAACAAACATTGAATAGTTTATGAAGTGTATATAAAGAAGTAAACCAAAATTTTGTGCAAGTGTTTAGTAATGGGTAGAACCTGTTAATATCTAAGATATATAATATAATGGGCCAAACACAGAACTACCTCAATAAAAATGTGGCCAACTATTAGTATTCTTTGTGACATTTACACCAAGGGCATTCAAAACCTTTGTTGTACAAAACTCATGTAATCATCATTAGCACAAAAAAGTCCAAAATGTGGGTTCATAATTTATAGGTGGTGAAACTTGAGGCCTTACTGCTCTGGAGTGTATATTAAAATGTTCGTGGTGACACATTTGAAGCAATAAATGGCTTAATTCAATGCCTAAATGAAGCTGAGTGTTTGATAAACATACAGTCATTCCTTTTAAGGGCACTTCATTTTTTTATTGATTTAAAAAAAAAATGACAGCAGAATACATTACAATTCTTATTACATGTATACAGCACAATTTTTCATATCTATGGTTGTATATAAAATATGTTGACACCAATTCGTGTCTTCATACATGTGCTTTGGATAATGATGTCTATCAATCACATTCCACCATCCTTGCTAATCCCCTGCCCCATGCCTTTCCCTTTCACCCCTCTGCCCTTTCTAGAATACATCTATTCCTCCCATGCTCTCACTCCCTACCCCTATGATTCAACCTCCTTATATCAGAGAAAACATTTGGCATTTGTTTTTTGGGGATTGGCTAACTTCACTTAGCATTATCTTCTCCAGTGCCATCCACTTACCTGCAAATGCCATGATTTTTTTCTCTTTTATTGCTGAGTAAAATTCCATTATGTATATATGCCGCATTTTTTTTTTATCTATTCATTCACCGAAGGGCATCTAGGTTGGCTCCACGGTTTAGCTATTGTGAATTGAAGGGCACTTTATTTTTTTACTCTTTTCTCCTTTGAAGCAAATTCCATGTATTTTATGTTTTCAACCAGTGTAGGTTTGTGCAATTTTAGTGTCCTTTGTCCTTGGACCTAGATGTAATTAATTGTCTTAATCATAGACAAGTAAGTGTCTAATAAATTTGGGTTATGTATGATACTCTGAATGTGAAGACATTGCAAAGTTCTCAGTGTTCACATTTTAAAAAAGTCTTTCAGCAGATGGGTTTTAATTGGAAAGAATCTCCTCAGTGGTATATTTATAACTGTATTAAGTGCCTAGATGCTGAGAATGTTTAGGTTAAGGTGCATATGTTGCTGTGGCGGGGGAGGGGGTGTTGGTGAAAGAAGTAGGTGGGGGCTGACATGTTAAATGATTGTGGCATTTTGACAAATGCTAGAATTGGATGTAGGAAGCTCTGTGGGAACATGGGGGAGGCAGGGAATTTGATTATTTCAATAGTTAAGAAACAAAGGAAGGATCATTTGAACTGGTCCTAAAGATAGATGAAGCAGGGATGTTCAAAGTCATGAGGATTCTGGGAACGGGAGGTAGTCTGGAACAAGAGGACCTGAGGTAGGATGCTGTGTCAGGGCAAGAATCCAAAAGCCTAATATTCATGAGGAGCTTTGCACACTGTGTCATGGCATTGTTAGTTGGGAGTAACATTTACATATTGTTAATGAACTGTAGTTATAGTGAATCGTAACTCTTAAGATTATAAAGTAGGGATAACATGAAATTAATTAGTCTCTAACTTGGAAACTTCAAAATGTTAAGTTTAAGATGGAGGTTTCCCCTCAATTTTTGAAACAACAAACTAGAATTTTTAGTTAAGATTTTTTAGATTTCCTTATTTAGATGATAAAATCTAAAGTACTGGAACAGTTTATGCTTTCTGACCCAGCATCTTACTATTCAGGATTTGATTCTGCTACAGAGAAATAAAGTTTGAAGTGATTTAAGACAAACTGACTTGAGATTTTGTTTTTTAATTTAAATTAAAAAGAATTGAAATTCATTAATTGAAATTAAATTTAAGACAAACTGACTTGAGATTTTTTTTTTAATTGAAATTAAAAAGATACAAGAAAGAATTATACCTCCTTCTGGCTGTTTCCATTTTAAAGTAGTATGTCTTATATGCCTTATTGGTCTTTTAACCAATACATCATCAGAATCCTAAACATAATTAAAATATTTATCTGAAAGAAAATAATTTCTTTTTTATTAAAATATTTCTTTAGTTGTAGATGGACACAGTATTTTACTTATTTATTTTTTTATGTGGTGCTGAGGATCAAATCCAGTGCCTCACACATGCAAGGCAAGTGCTCAACCACTGAGCTACAACCCCAGCCCCCTGAAAATAATTTCTTAAAAAATATTTTAGAGCCATATAATTCAATTTTTAGTGAATCCACTACCACCTTTTACTTTTATTGACTGCTAACAAAGGAAATGTAGAGGAAAACATAATTATCCATTTTTCTGCAGATTTGATGGGACTGTAGCCAGGGTAGGCAGTGAGAGTGGGGTTGTGTGTGTTTGCTTATGTGTTGCCTGTATTACTCACCTATGTTAATAGGAACAGCTCTGCTTAGCAAGGTGTGTAGCTCCTAGTCTTTAAGATGTGTGTGTTTAAAACATTCACAAGTTTAATACAGTGGCAGGAAAAAAAAACTAGCTATCACATTTTTATTTATTTTTTCATTGTTATACCTGCTGCAGTAGAGGGTCCCTCCATGCTGTTATGTTAAAATAAAAACAATTTAAATAGATACCAAGTAACTTTAAAAAGATTGTCTAGGTCAAATGTAATTCAAGGGGCCAGCTAGAAATATAAATAACCCTAAGCATAAATAGAGGCAATTGACTAGAAAGATCTTACTAATAATTAATTAGTAGATTTTATTATGTCTTCCTCAGTGTGTCCCATTAGAATTTATCAAAATCGATGTTCATAACCTCGAAGCATTTGTATTTTTGTCTGCAGTATAACAAATTATTTTCTTGAGTAGTAGAGAATGGTTCTAGATAATTTTTAGGGTTTCCCAATTGTACCAAAAGGTACTATCACTTTACTAGTAATTGTTTTAAAGAGAAATTCAGTTACTTGTTGTATACAAAAAAACTCTGAGCTTATATATTGATCATATGGCATCGATTAGATATGGAAGTCTACTTTTTGTAGTGGATATGTGACCAAAGAGATGCTCAGAGAATGTGACCTTCTTACCCACTCAGATTAGCTAAGAAAATGCCAGTGATCATAGGAGTGATCAAACCAACTTCCAATTATGTCACATACATCAATCTTTAAATAGTTAATGTGATGCAGTAAAACTTTCTTTTTCTGAAAATGTAAATGGATGCTTGAGTTGTGATTACATAAAAGAAAGAAACAGAAGGGCAGGAAGAAAGGAGAAAGAAGGAAGTGGAAAGTGAAAGAAGCAAAATTATCAGACCCTCTTAAAATATTTTAAAAAGTATGGTTTCCAAGGAATCCTGTATTGCAGATCTACAGAGAAGATGAATGAGATTTCTAATTGAGAATATAATTTGATACTGTCATATAACCAACAAAAAGTAAATTTGTTCATGTTTTATATATTATTTAATAAAAACAGGATTTCTGACTTCATGTCAAGGTGTAAACTTGTGCTCTGAAGAAAACAAACAGTGGGATTCATTGGATTCAATATTTACCATATTGTGATATTTATCATACCTGTGAACCCACTGTTTAAGTGAAACCCTTTACCTCTGTATTTGTCTGCCTGTCTATCCTTCTATATATCCATCATCCTATCCATCATCCATCCATTTATGTATCTATGATTTAGAGGGTATGTATACACAGATCTTTATTTGTCATCTTTTAAAGGATGCAAATATAAATGTCAAATTTGAGAGCCTTAAAGGATATTATATGACCAATGTCACATTTGTTTGGGGAGCAGTGTAATTACATTTTCAGGAAAGTAGTTAAAACCTCAGGGAAACTAATCATGCCTCCAAGGTGCTCACTATTCTAACTTAAGTAACAGACAAATTGTAGGCATTCCCATTTAAAAACTGCAACAGCTATCCCCTTGGTTAAATTTGAGTTTCACTTTTTTTGTGGTTTTGACATTTGTGCCAGGCTGGGGGGCTCCCCTGCATGTGGGGAAACTGTTCAGCAGCATCACTGGCTTTTGTGCACTCAAAGTCAGTAGCATCTCTGCTGCCTCCTCTCCTCCTGCCAGTTGTGATCTAAAACTATCTCTAGAAGTTGCTAAATGTCCTGGGGGTGGGGAGTGGAGGACAACTGCCTTCAGTGGGTTAAGTATGACCAGGATGTGAAATCACAAGGAAAAAACTGGAACAATGATGAAAAGCATTTGAATCTATGATGCATAGACATCTAAAAATATGAATTTTCAAAACAATTACATGCAAGCAAATACTGCTTGATGGAGTTGGTAAAATAGCTTCCATCATAAAGCAATGTATACTGTAAGGTAAAGATTATAAGTATATTAGTACATAAAATATAGCCAAATACTACAAAAGTAATTTTGATACCAGTGCAAGCTTGCATGAGAAGAGAGGAAGTTGTGGAAAGTAAGGAAAGTGACTAGTTGAAAATTGTGGAAAACTAAGGAGAGATTTCTCATTTTTAAAAAGACAACCCCAAATATTGGCATATGGGATTCCGCCAGTGATTTTTATTTTAGCAACACAGTTGGGGCAATCAAGAATTAAAAGCATTTGGTTTAGAGATGTTTGATTCATCTGGGATGATTGTTCATCTAAAAAATTAAAAAAGAGGGGCTGGGGTTGTGGCTCAGTGGTAGAGCACTTGCCTCGCATGTGTGAGCACTGGGTTCTATCCTCAGCACCATATAAAAATAAATAAAGTAAAGATATTGTGTCCCTCTACAACTAAAAAAAATATTTTAAAAGAGACTAGGATATGTTTACTTAAAAAACAACAACAAAAAACAAGAAAAAGGTAGAATAGTGAAAATAATATTAGCATTGTTTTTAATTGTAAACTCACAAAGCAAACTCACTGGCATTTTTCTTCCTTTTTTAAAAAAAATATTTATTTTTTAGGTGTAGATGGACACAACACAATGCCTTTATTTATTTATTTATTTTATGTGGTGCTAAGAATCGAACCTGGGTCCTGCCTGTGCTAGGCGAGCACACTACCACTGAGCCACAATCCCAGCCCCATTTTTCTTCCTTTGAATTGGACAGACACTTCATGAAGGGTGCCTTGTATACTGTTCCTTTTTATCTGTCGACATGATTCTTAGACCTTTGCCATGAACTGCCGTCACCATTTGGCATTCCATGTGTAGAACCACTGTGAGGAAAGCGGAAAACCTTTTTTAAAAAAATCCATAGATTTTAATAGAAATTTTTATAGAAAGCTC